GAGCTATCCCTGTAACAGGCCGTGGAAACCCATAGAGCTTTGTGAAACGTCGAGGCTTCCACATTTTATAGACAATTGGTTCACACATAGCGGCCGCCCTGTTCCCTCAGGAAGATTCCTGGTACTCATTTCTGTTAGAGGCTGAGTCGACCCCAGGGTCATAGTGCTGCTGGAAGCATTAGATCTATTGAAAAGTCTGATGAACTCATCGGGAATCGGACCTGGGACCTATCGGCGTGTAGCCTATTGCGAGGTAAATTAGTCCATGTGCATAATTAAATCCAAAGCCATGAATACTTATTTGGTAACGGAGGTATAGCTCCACGAATTCCTAACCTCGACACTAGACAGAGGTGAGTTAGTAGTTTTACACTCAGGCCTCTTTCACCCAGGGAAAACTTGGTACCCACTGGAGAGGAAGCTGTGAGTTGCACAGCCTGTCTGGACTCCGCGGAAAAGAGCCTCTCATATCCGTGCCAAGAATAAAACCCCGATTTACTGGTCATGCAGCCTCTAGCCTAGTCCGTATAACGACTGAGGTAATACCGAGGTTAGGAATGACGGGAACTATACCTCCACTCTACAATTTGTATGCGTGGTGCTTAATTAAGCACAGGGGCAACTTCACCAGACTATGACGACATTAAAGGAGGTGGCGGTGAGGAGTCAACATAAAGAAAATAACCTGACTAGGAAACGTTTGTGACTCAACGTAGTACAATGATCACGTGAAGGATTCTGTATAGTCACGGGCTATGATGAAGAATAACTTTCTAATTTGTCGTTACAGAAAATATGTATCCATTTAAGGAAAGATACATATATACATGATAGGCGTGGCGACAACCCTCTGTATTCATATTCCAGAGCTAATTTGTTCGAATCTCGATTGGGACACCTGCTCATGCTGGTTCGCTCGCGGATTTCTTCTTGTCTTCTATCCTGAAAATGGAGGCGATACGTTACTCCGAAACGTCGGTTAGCACAACTTCTACCCGGCGCCACATCCCAGAAGACTGCGTTGTTCAATGCTGAATGTACTTCTGCAGCCGTTTTCTTGGACCAGTTCCGCCTTTGTGGCAGAAAGATCACGTGACCAAGTTTTCCATTAGGACAGAAGCGTTAACTACTCCTTTATGTGTTCTTGTTGGATGTGTGATTGTCCTCCAGTTCTGTCTCTGGGAGCCCTAAAATCTCCAGAACTGGACCGAATAGTCAGTTCTAACGAAATGTGATAGCATAAGTTCTCAATAGGCCGTTCTATAAGACTTGCCGGCCTATAAAATTATCCCTCATCTCTTTCCAGTTGCATTCATAAGGGATTGGAAGTGTTAAATCCATCCCTCAAAGTTCTAAATTACTCTGAAATATATTTAGGCATTTGAAGGGTAGGATTGCATATCTGCAGTATACCGTGGCGAGCGTGTTGATTGTTAGTCTCGGTTAGTACAATGACTGGCAATGAACTAGAGGACCAAGTTTCAGTTTCCTTCACGTCACAGTCTTCACTGGAGGCTACTAGTAGTTGGTAACTAATGGTTATTTTCCTCGGGGACAAAGCAGCAGGAGCATGAAGCTGACCACTTAACCTCCAACTAGTGGCGAGGTTATGGTTATAGTTAGTTCCACTCCTCACTGCTTCGTCAAAGAGTGGTCATTAAGCACAGTGTTAACATTCATAATTGTAATTTGTATTTATAAGTTTTCGAATTATTTAAAGATGTCTTGGTCAGGATCCTCAAAAATATTTGTATCTGTGGCCTGACTGCACAGCGTCATAGTGAAGAAAATTGTTATCTTAAAATGGAGATATTTACTTAGACTGGCGTTGAAGTCTCCGAATATTCATTTGTATCGGATTTCAGTTATCATTGCGGTGCTCAATCTTGGTTCTACATATGCAAGTACACACAGGCAAAGCCTGTTTCTTCAATTCTCCTACTCGTCTAAATAATATTACAGAATTCATTCCTAAAAAGTGAAAAAAGTAAGTAAAGGTATCCCTGTAACAGGCCGTGGAGACCATAGGGTTGTGAGATGTTGAGGATCCCACATTTTCTATACAATCGGCTCACAGATGACGGTGAGGTTGTCAGCCTTACGCGCCGGCCGCCCTTTAACCCCAAGAACATTCCAAGAATATTCCTGGTACTCATTTCTGTTAGAGGCTTAGACGATCCCAGGACCATAGTGGGCTGGAAGGATTAGGTAAATTGAAAAAAAATCCAGTGACCTCATCGGGATTTGATTCTGCGACCTTCCGGTTGTAGCACAGTGCCTCAACCAAGTACGCTACCGCGTGCTACCTCACAGAAACTCTGTTGCATATTTATTACCAAGATAAATCTGTTATTGCTGTTTAATTAAATAATCACGGTTTATTCTAAAAGCCCATACTAATCCCAAAAATTGATTCTGTGGTTAGAATTCAAAGTTCCTTTAATGTTGAAGTAGGTTATATTGTTATGAACTGATGATTATGAATGAGTTATACTGTGTAAACATGACCTTCATGCATTCTGGCTTTTCATAACTTCACACAACTGCATTGAATGTAGGATTAAAAGTTCTGTTGTGTGTTATGTGCAAATGTGAACAGATGCTATAAGAAAGGGATCGACAAGAAGGAGTAAAGAACCGAAACGTCGGTTTACACAATATCTACACGGCGCAAAATCCCAGAAGACCGCATTCTTCATAGTCACCGCCGTGAAAACCTCAAATGTTACACAGGAAGACAAGTTACAACACTTAGTCTCATGAAAGATATAACTGTGTACAATTCTGTGATCTAAAATCAGTTTAGACTGAACAGTGGTGCTGTTTGAACTGATCTGCACCCCGCGCACGTCTAGTTATAGAATGTTTTGTTATTATGCATAATCATCATCATCAGTAATCTGTCAGACGACAGGTCCACAGTCTCTTCCAAAACAATTCCTCCACTTAATGCGATCTAGAGCTTTCTCCTTCAAATGACAGTATCCTCTTCTGTTCCCAAGGTCATCCAGCTTCTTCTTACGTCTTCTTCCTCGTCTTCTTGTCACTTCTATCCGCCCATCTATCTTTCCTTCGATAACTTCTTTTAGAAGGCAGTTTCTGCGTAAAACATGACCAATCCAATTAGCCTTCCGTTTTCTTATTTCGTGTAGGATATTCCTCTGCTCACTGACTCTAATGAACACTTCTTCATTTCTCACATAATCGGTCCAACTGATCTTCTCCATCCTTCTCCAACACCACATTTCGAAACTTTCCAGATGTTTCTGATCCACTGCCCTAAGTGTCCATGTTTCAGCCCCATACAGAGCTATGCTCCAAATGTAACATTTCACTAGTTTCTTCCTCAAATTTAAGTCCAATTTGCTGGTAAAAAGATTCTTCTTCTTGTTAAATGCAGCTTTTGCCATGGCAATCCTGGATTTAATTTCACTGTTAGGCATAATATGATAAAGAAATGTATGAAAGTAACAAACAAAAAAAAAACACCAGATTTTATCGGAGCTGTTACATATTGCTGTGGCTTCGTGTTTTATTTTATTGTGGACCTGATTTTTGTCCTGTTTGGTTTTCAGTTTAACGTGGATTTGTGCCCTTTTGAGGAATAAATTTTTTGGTTTCTCTCCGTATATACAATATTTTTAATTGTTATCATTTTCATTGTGTGTTGGCGAATTAATATAGCAACGAATTGTCCACCGTTAACACGCTATGTAAGCGCAAGTTATGCAGCACAGCACAAACGAGATCAGTGTATCATATCCATTCTGTGAGTATTTATATCATTATGTGGATACATTATGTATTTATTATTCGTGCCGATCACAGTGACCGCGTGGTCTAGGACATGACTTGTCTTCGCTCGCTCGGAAGCTGAGATCGTAGGTTCGAATCCCACTTAAGGCATGAATGTTTAGCGTGTGTGTGTGTGCGTTTATTCTATGTTTATGTTGTCCTGTGTGTAGGTAGCGGCCTTGCGACAGGCTGATCACTCGTCCAAGGAGTCCTACTGACTGCGAAAAATGATTACGGAAGTGAATAAGGGGGGAGGACCCTGAATGTGCAATTGAGCAATTGAAAGAAAAAAAAATCGTGGGAGTTTGCGTTAAACGGAGTCCTCGACGTATCAGTCGATAACATTTAGGATAAGAAAGGAATATTGAAGAAAGTAAGGGTAGTTAACAGCACAAAAGCTTACACAACAAATGGTGAAATTTCACCTTGCATTATCAGTTTGGTACAGAAGTATAAGAATTTAATATTGAAATTCTTAACCAAGAAGTACATTAATATCGAGTTACTTCTGGAGCCTAAAATAGAAATACGCAAAATATTTTTTTTCCTTTGCAAAATCATAGTTTATCTGTTGTTTCTAGCCTAATATACATATTATTTTTTTAAAACATCTTTGAATATATACAGTTTAAATCATCTTTGGAAATACACAGTTCCTTGAGTAGTATATCCAACAAAATGAAAATTCCGTTTGTCCAACGAAATCTCCGGTTTTGGTTCCCATCCAGTGTTGAAAACAGAATATAGTGGTTATCTAATGATGACGTCAAGCTCTACGTCACTATCTGAGAATGACGCAGCCTCAAAGATATTTGAGACAGAGTCAATGATTGGGTACACGTTTACCCCACAGGACCCGTTACGTGATGCGTACTGCTGCGGCTGGTTACTCACTGAAACCTGAAACATAAAAGCCTGACACGTTGCTCAGAAAAGCCCGTGTGTGAAGAGTACGCCTTTCTGGGCTGTAATGCAGAACAGTTCGGAAAAAGACCGAAGTTTCGGAATAATATATCGCCTCCATTTTCAGGGTCGAATAATCTTAGTCAAGGAAGAAACCAACAAAATTAGAGACACAGCTCTGCTTAGCTTTATATTCAACCCTGAAAATAAAGGTGATAATAAAGTTGTCCCTGTGCTTAACTAATTAAGCACTACGCCGTTAAGGCGTATGAGGGAGTGGGTGTATTGATCCATATTTTCTTTACCTCGGCAATAGTTGGAGGTGAGTGGTCAACTTCACACCCCGGCCGCTTTACCCTCGGGAAAGAGCCCCCAGTGGGCTCCATCCTCCGAAAAATGTGTTATCCGCACTGCACTGTTTTACAACCCAGATCACCATAATCTTCATAATCTCCACTGCAAGAGCCTCAGTTCCAAGTACAGGATTCAGACTGTTTACTCTTATGCTTCTTCGAAGTCATGTGACACCTGTAATTGTAAATGTTACACATCTGACACACTCAGATGTTTAGGCAAGTTCGTCATGAGTAGTGGATAATGCATTTGTTACCACAAGAAACGCAGATCATCCGTTCCTTTATTGCTTAGTGTATGACGTATCTTCCGGAATCGATTTCCGCTCTCTCGGCCTCGCTCAGCCTTGCTTCCTCTTCTGCATTCTTGGCCAGTGCCTCTAGGATAGCCTGAGGTATTGGTGGTGGCACCGGCAGATGAGCACCTTGAGGTACGAAACCGTTTTCGTCAGCAGTATATGTAACAACAATGTCGTTTCCTTCAGGATCCTTGTACCTGTAGGAGCCGCGCACAACCTGGTGCTCGTCGGGTGTTCCCGCGTTCCTCAACTCCCCCACTTCCTCCCGAGCGATGTCGTTTCCGGTTTCGAAACTGAAGGAAAGCAAGAAAAGATTGTATTTTAATTTGCCTTCCATGCACCAACAGGGAGTAGATTGAGGGATACAGCTGCCTTTAGGAACCTTGTGTAAGGTCGCGTGTTGAAAGGGTCATTCAAACGAAAGAATCAGCAGCAAAATGCCGGTTGCTAGGGAACGAGGTAGTACCAACATTCGTGCCGTTTCTGTTTCCTCAGATATAATTTTCTGTCTCTCAAACTAATTCTCTTCTCCCTTTTTAGTCATTGCTTTTTTTCACTTATTTTTTTGGATTATTATATTTATATTATATTTATTATATTATATTTGCATAGGCGACATTTTTTTCTGACCTTGTATAGAACGGTGGTTTAATAGCAAGAAAAATGTATGAGAAATGAAACCAGGACCAGGTTGGTGAGTGGTCTCTGTATAACAGTAAGGTTAGTTGTTGTGTACAATAATATTTCGTAACACACAATGCTTCAGTTAGTATACAGTACCGCTTCAAAACATAATTGTTGTTGCATAATAATGTTTCGAGGTCTCTAATTATGAGCCTATGTAAATTAGTAAGGGATTCAAACACATAAATAGTTAGGTAATGAGACTTGTTTGGAAATAAATAGAAGTAAAACTCACCCTTGTAAATGTTTATAAAAGTTAGGGATAACAAATTTCAAACCTTTTGGCAATTAGAACGTAATTATAATTAAGAATAACAAGAAGTTCTTGGCAGAACTAATCTCTATTTTCTTTTGGTATGACACGGGCCGCATAGAAAACGACGCTTCGAAACATTCTTTTATCCTTGCCTTTATAACGTTTTTAACTAGCCGTTGCCTAGTAGAGACAGGGACATACACATATTGATGGGAGGTATTTATGAAGAATGGCGTTTGGGGTAGACTCAGTTGACATGATATAAATATCAAGTTTCATAAAGAGTTATTCAGCCATTAAAAGTCGATATTAGGGGACACGAAAACACAGAGACAGTCTGATGATCTCATAAGCCTACTTTTATTTTTTTTTTCAAAATTAGAAAAGTATGCTGAAACATTAAATAACTCAGTCAGGAAGTTAATTCTGTGCGTGCTTCTCTACGCGTTATTGTTCGGCACTGTCAGTAACTGCGCATGGCTTCATCATAGCGAATAATAAATTAGAACGGCTACGGAGAGAAGGAGTCGTGACGTAACGTAAGGCACGGTCCCAGAATTTCCCTTAAGGGACTGAGAAAAACGAGAAACCTCGATCGGAATAGTCAATGTTACTGCCGAGATTCGAACCGGCATATCCCCAATATAAGTAGAAACATCAGTGATTGAGTCAATTTGCACCCTAGGATGAGCTATAGCGATGAGGTCATTGGATTTGTTTCAATTGACCTAATCATTCCAGCCGCACTATGGTCCTGGGGTCGACTCAGCCTCCAACAGAAATGAGGACCAGAAATCTTCCTGGGTGTAAAAGGCGGCCGGCGCGTAAGGCTAACAACCTGACCGCCATCTGTGAGCCGATTGTCTAGAGACTGTGGGAACCTCAACATCTCACAACTATATGGGCCTCCACGGCCTGTTACAAGGATACCTTTACCTTTAGAATGAGTTATGGTGATCCTGAGTGTAAGTGGCTTATTGAAACACAAATCAAAGCAAATCAAAGCATGCCCTTGGTGTGAAAAGGCTGAATTAAGCTCCACATAAACGTTCAAGAGCCATTAGCGTTACCTGAAACTGTATCCTCCAGCAAAGTCTGTCTCCTGCGCTGATCTGAGAATGGGTATCGGGGTTGTTTTCTGTGGTGGCGCCGAGGACACGAAGCCCAACATCACCACGAAGCATAAAACTACAATCTGGAAGACAACAGCAATAGTAACGACATCACTCATTGAGCTCACTTCGAAATTCATCCACCAACTTTATAATGGGGATCAACTGATCAGGATGTGACAAAAGAATATATTTAACTGTGGCTACAATTAGTGTAGACTATTGGAAACCAATCCTTTTCCCTACTATTTACGTCGTCAGAATGAGACGTATTTCAATATGGGGGCGGACGAATCCTTCCCATTTCATGAACAATATTCAAACCAATCGGTTAAACTTACTGATCAACATTTATAAGTTTATTAGTATAACCCACGTTGATATTTTAAGGGTGAATTTCTAGAAACATACATCATGAAAATGGCCTACCCCGATAACTTGAAAAAGATGGGGAAAGATAGCTACATTTATTTTTATAATATGGGGGCACGCGTTAGCGTAGTTGGTTGAGGCACTACGCTACAAACCGGAAAGTCGCGGGATCGAATCCCGATGAAGTGGATCTTTTTCAGTTGACCTAATCCTTTCAGCCGCACTATGGCCCTGGGGTCGACTCAGCCTCTAACAGAAATGAGTACCAGGAATCTTCCTGGGAGGTAAAGGGCGGCCATTTGTGGATATTTTAATTTTTTTTTTTACATATATTTTACATAATCTGCAGAATCTTCTATAAATATATATGTTCAATAAGTAGTGGCTTGTGAATGAGTTATGCCCTGGGGCGCAACCCATGTACTTTTTTGTTCATTTAGTTATAGTTTTATTCTTGTATTTGGGTTTTACTCAGGTCTGTCTGGTAGAGTTAGAATGGTACATCTATGTATAGTTTCGCTATTGTCTAGTAGGTTCACTGCTAGTGCATTAGTATGGTTTTCTAATTTTCCTAAGTATTTGGTATTCCACTTTTTATTTCACTGAGCACCGTGTTCATGTGTAGTTCTTCATGTATCTTGTGACTGTTTATCATGGACATTGACACAAGATTTCACTGAATTTATACGGTATGAGCTACAATTCGTTTTCGGAAAAGACCAAGATTTCCATGTTGACTGAAGCGTAGATTACTCTCTCTCTCTCACTGCCACCTGGTAGATCATTTCGTAATTAATACATACTAATAACAGTGACTTTACAATGTCGACGACAGAATCAGGACATCCAAACAGGTTTTAGGAATTTAAGTATAAGATGTTTTTGAGAAAAGTGAAAGAACAGTCCATGTCATCCATAAATGGTTAAAGACACCAAATCCTACATGAGGACAAGTTCGCTGCTTTCAGAAATAACAAGGATATCTGAACAGACGTCATGAAACTTACTTCCTTATTTCCGTTTTTCTCTGAAAATGTTGTTATTGTTACTTCATTTAGTTTGATATTTGTGAAGAACTTGTTACAACATAATGATTCTGTTCACGTTATGCGTGTCGGACATAACCTCAACTAAAGTTTCGTGTGACCGTGACATTTGAACGTTCAGAAACTCACCTGATTTGTTACCATCTTGCCGCAACTTCTTCGCTCTGCACTGAATGAATGATTCGAAAAGCGAAGCTATTGTTACTTATATATGTACACTAACATTTCATTTGGGCAGACGACAGTCTGGATTAAGAGGGGGGTATCTTTAAAATTCCCACAGAGGGTATTCAAAGTGACAGGAGAGGGGGAAGTGGCATGTGTGATCACACTGGATCGACATGCACGTGTCGGTTCCGGTTGGAAGGGGGAAGATGAGCTGGAGCGCTTCCCTCCTCTGTGGGAAGAGACATTTTGTAAATGCAGCCATTTCTGAACGTTTAAACTTAAAATGAATGACAGGATTGCTTTGACCTTCTCGGGACGAAACGGCGTTCAGTTTCTTTCCAACATTTTGTGTTAGAAATTAATTTAAAACTCTGGATGTGTGCAGCAAATACGGATAATTGAAGGTTATTAGGCTCCTAAAACAACTTTAAAATTTAATCCAAGATTATCCATCAATATAGCTCAAGATAGCACTTCTAACTTATATTCGGGAAGTAGTCAGATCGAATCTCGTTTAAGACAACAGCAATACTGACTGAAGTCATTCCTAGTTCTCCCCAATCCATCTGGGACAAATACAAAGATGACCGTTTCCTTCCTCATCCTTCCCTATTCATTATTCATTAATCCTGCCATTCGAAGCTGTATGATCCTGACTAATTGCAGTGGTGTTAAACAAAGCAAAAAAAAAAACACAAAAAAAAACAAATAAATTAAAAATTTTTTTTGGGATAAATTATCTTAAATAAATCATACATCAAAATTATAATATACATTACACATATGCCCAATTAGATCATTGTCTTCTGAGATATAACCCCGCTTATCATGTTTGGAAGATACAGACGTTTAGGAGGGACCTGTTGCCTGTATATTCAGGGTAGTCTGCTCTAGAAACAGCGGAAGCAGTCTCTTCCGAAGAATTTTATCTCCATTCTGTCAGATCACATGGCGTTGCATAACAGAAGGCATTATCTTCATAGTCAGCTCTGTGAGAACCTCAGGTTTCAAATATGCTTACGTTCAAAAATGCATTGTATGCCAAAATTTATCTTGTGCACCACTCCAAGTCAATAAATCAAAATGATGCAAGTAGGTCTATTTAGTCTAGACTGTGGCACATGCGAGGGATATTTGGGAAGCAACCTCCTTTATTTTAGGCAACTAAAGTAAGAGGGAGGGAGGGAGGGAGGTAGCGTCACATGACTCATTTCCTTGTAAACCATCACATAATTGGTCACCTAGTGTTTGTTCTTGTCTCTACGGAGTGAGTTATGGTGTTTCCCGCGATTGAGTATACCTTCAACTACGAAATTCGCGATATTATTCGCTTTCTTCACATTAAAAACATGGCTGCTACGGAAATCCGCCGTCAATTATGCAGGGCGGTTTACGGCCAAATTGTAATGAGTGAAGGAACCGTAAGACAGTCGTGTAGAATGTTCAAAGATGGGTGAACAAATGTTCACGATGAAGAGCGAAATGGTCAGCCATCTGTAGTGAGTGATGATCTTGTTCAAAGTGTTGGCCAAAAAATTTGTGAAAGACGGGGCTTCACAATTCAGCAATATCATGCACTGTTCTCTGCGAGATTATCACACTTAGACTAGGCTATCACAAGTAGTTACGCATTAGCTACCGAAGATTGTCACATTTTCGTCACTGGCAGCAGTTCCTTCAACAGAACGGCTAGAAAACTGGAAGTAAAAATAAGGAAATTTACTGAAGAGAGAAGAGTGACATCTCGAGGGAGATGTGAAAGGGTAGATCCACGAAGCTTCTTCCATCACCTTAGTGTGATAGTCATGAAGATTGCGAGATCCAATCCCTCGATACAGTTCCCTCAAATGAACCTATCATATCAGGCCTTCGTGCTATAGCAATGACAGGGGATAACCGAAGTCATCAAACAGAAATCTGCACAAATGTCTTTTGTCCACTATACATCCCACTCAGAATAGATTTGGGCTAGGAGCCTGAATCTAGCTTGTTAATAAATCTCTTTCAGAGAAAGCAGGCAGCCTCTGTTTAATCCCTGGCTGAGACGCAAGAAATACTCAATGAATTCGGATCGCAGGTCCTGTCTCAGCCGCGTTATTTATCATTACCTCTGTAAGAACTCCCCCCCCCCTGTTCACCTGAACCCTCTGACCAAAAAATTATTAACCTCTGCTGGACCTAGTTCACGTAAGTTTCGCCGCTCTCCACGTGTCATGGCCTTTATCCTTCAGACATCTGTTGCTGATATTCACTCCTTATATAGCTGACTGACAACACAGCTATCTTTCTAATTTATCGATAGAATTTCTCTAAATTCTTATGAAGCAACATTGCTGGGTCGATCCTAGATGTTATTTACCTCGACCCAGGAATGGGTCAATTAATGAATCATCAATTCATTCTTTAATATGACTGCAGGAATACTGGGTCCACAAAGAACTTCTCTGTATAATGGAACTACGTGTGTCCGAAAGTTTCACAGCGGTAGATCTGAAAACACGGCTAGCGCTACAGAACTGCCCGGATTTTGCGGTACAGGAAAATTGAGTTACATAGGGGTAAAGTTGTGTCTGTTCTTGATTAAGCACCGCACTGTAAGCACATATCGGGAAATGAAGGCACCAGTCTTATACTCGGCAGTAGATGCAGCTGAGTGTCTGTTTTATCCCGAGGTAAGAGGTCCCAATACGCGTTGCGTAGGAGACTGGGTGAGCCCCAGAGCCGGTCTGGATGCTGTGGCGAACAGATGAATTGATATTTCTGCAGGAAATCAAATGTGATCGGCAAACCCACAGTCCACCGCTAAGTAAGTAAAAAAGTAAAGTAAAGGTATCCATGTAACAGGCCGTGGAGACCCATAGGGTTGTGAGAGGTTAAGGCTCCCACATTTTCAGGACAATCGGCTCACAGATGGTGGTGAGGTTATCAGCCTTACGCGCTGGCCGTCCTTTACCCCCATGAAGATTCCTGGTACTCATTTCTGTTAGAAGCTGAGTCGATCTCAGGGCCGTAGTGCAGCCGAAAGGATTAGGTTAATTGAAAAAATCCAATTACCTCATCGGGACTTGAACCAGCGACCTTCCTGCTTGTAGCATAGTGCTTCAAGCAACTACGCTACCGCATGCCCCACACAGCCCATCATTATATTGATTTATTTCTCATTGCTGTACGAAAAAGAGGGGTCCTAATTTATGCTAATTTAAATAACATAATAATTCCTGTCCCATGCAGAGACATCCGTTCCTCCGGAGTTCGGCGAAACAGAGACTGCTACGGCAGAAATGAGACTGCCTACACAGGAACCTTTCGAGTTCAGAAGCGCTTCTCAATTTTAAAACGCGAAGCAGACGGCAACAGGAGCCGGAATAGCCCAGTCGGTATAGCGACTAACTACTGGCTGGACGACCACGGGGTTAGAGTTCGAGTCCCGGTAGGGTCATGAATTTTCTCCTCTGCACGTCATCCAGACTGTTTCTAGGGCCCACTCAGCCTCCTATCCAATTTTTACTGGGCTTAAAGCGGCCGGTCGTGAAGCTGACCACTCACATCCAACTAGTACCGAGGTCAAGAAAACGTGGATCTATACATCCACTTCCCCATACCTCTTAATGGTGTAATGCTTAATTAGTTAAGCACAGGGACAACTTTACCTTCAGCAGATGGCACGCACTCACGGTCAGGTGACTCCTGTGCACTGCTGTGTTGTTTCTAACGTAACAAACGTATACTTAAGAATAATTTGTATTCATCTCAAGAGTTCTGCATGTCGATACCCAAGGCCGCATGTTCCATCTCCGGCATACATCACACACCTGAAGACACTGCTATGCTATTCTGAAATGAAATCGGGTTTCTGTGTTGTCCGTGGCATATTAAGAATGTTTAGTCATCAGTTTCAAATGCCATAGCTTGGAATACTGTAATAGACACTTGAGACGCATTTGACCTTTGATTGACCATAACACCTGTTTCTTCGCACTGTGTCCCAACTGAATTGCTGCTTCTTCCGGAGGATTACAACTCCATCGTGTATTGTCTTACATATAGGCATAGAGCAGTGCTTTTATTGCAGGGTTCCACAAACAAATGTTACCCTGTTCTTCATCAGACAGTCTGACCACTGACACATAGAATAGTATCCTCAATCTATGACAGTGTCTACTGGCTGTTTCCTAGCAATGGCTTCTACAGAGGGAGATTCTTCAGCTTTTCGCACTCAGGTCCTCTTGTCACAACGGCCCGTACAGAATTCTTGTCAACTTACAACATTTATATTGTTATAATAGATAGATTTTGCAGAAAGATACTAGAAATTCCCACCAAGATAATAGCTTACGTCACATTACGTTGTAGATAATGGTACGAAATTGGTCGAGTGATTCATATTGTTGTCTTCTGGGTTATGGCCGCATGTAATCTGACACATGTGTACCACCCTTCCTGAGGACTAAATTTACCTCGGTTTTTAGGTTGGAAACCTGAAAACGGAGAGTATATTTCTCCGCAATGTTGGTATCCGCATACAGTAATACATTTATCGTAACCTAAAAAACAATATGAATATTTAACGCGTGAAATCAAGTCATACAGATTAGTGATAATCAGACAAGAAGAAACATGCCTTTAAAACCGATATGATGAATTACTACAAAACCAGGGAAAAATAAATTTTGGGCGCACTTTCGGCGATTATTATTTACCAGGTGACAGAGGTTTGGTTTGCATCCCTGTTTATCGCAAGGGATAAATTCATTTTTCCGTCCGATATCACTGAACTGACCATCTGCTTCTCTGCAGATTTTCTAACTTTCCTTTCCAGTAAGAGCAATATAACAGCTCATAAAATTGTGTGACTAGAATGGTAGTTCAAGGAGAATGAACAATTTTGAAGTTACACGAGCATGTGTTATGTAAAGAACTAATCTATGAGCATCATAGATTTATATTTCTCGACGTATAAACTTGTAAGGCGGAAACAACATTTCCTTAATGTCTAGAAAATAAAATTTCTTAACAGAATGATGACTGGCATCCGCTGTTGTGTGCGTTTTAA